GGGAGCGCCCGGTCACTCGGCTGGACGCCTCTCCAGCTGCGGGAGCGCCCGGTCACTCGGCTGGACGCCTGTCCCGCTGCTGGAGCGCCCGGTCACTCAGCTGGACGCCTCCGCTGTGGGAGCGCCCGGTCACTCGGCTGGACGCCTCTCCCGCTGCGGGAGCGCCCGGTCACTCGGCTGGACGCCTCTCCCGCTGCGGGAGCGCCCGGTCACTCGGCTGGACGCCTCTCCCGCTGTGGGAGTGCCCGGTCACTCGGCCGGACGCCTCTGCTGTGGGAGCGCCGCGCTCTTCTGCCCCTGCAGCCGGCTTGGGGAGGGGCACGGACTGGCTTCCTTTGCCAGCGCCCTGGGGTGGCCTGGCCTGACCCCGGAGGGGCCGGTGGGGAAGAGGCTTCCCACCAGCCAGGTCGGAGCTTGGTGGATCTTCATGAATCCTGTTCAGTTGGCCGTGTGCCCTGAGGGCCCCTGGTGGTGCGGCTGGGCCTGAGACACAGCCTTTGGAAGCCCCTTTGGCGAGTGCTAGTGGTGCCCGGGTGCCTTTATGGCCCCCCTGGGAGGACTTGCTTCCTTTTCCCTGCTCTAGCCCTGGAAGGAATTTCTTATTGGGGTCACTGTTTGTTTTTTTCCCAGTGGAAAGTGCAGAGAGCCCAGGGTGCAAGGCGCTGAAGCCGTCCTGGCTGTGGTGCCCGGCCAGTCCTCCCGGTGGACAGCCACGTCTTCACATCACCAACATCTTGAACTCAAGGCCTCACACTCTCCCTTCACTCTTCTGCTCGAGGCTGAAGCTCTACCACTTGAGCTACACCTCCACTTCTGCCTACTTGGAAATGAGTCTCTTGAATTTGCTGGAGATGGCCACAAACCACAATCCTCACATCTCAGCCTCGGGAGCAAGCCAGGACCTTGCAAGGCATTGCCTGCGCTTGGCAGTGAATGCACCTAGGCACCTGTGGCTGGGTGAGGCCTGACCTTGTAATGCTGCAGGTCTAAGGGGAGGGTACAGCCAAAAAGGGCAAATACGTGCGTAGAAATGTCTTCTGAAAGCGAGGCACTGGTGACTCTCAAGATCTGATAGTCATGGTTCAAGGTCAGCCCCAGCAGAAAAGTCAGAGACAACCTCAGAGAACCAGAAGTGGCTCTTTCACTCAGCGGTAGAAAAAGCTCAAGGACAGCACCGGGCCTGAGTTCAAGCACAACTGACCAAATAAAAAAAAGGGGGGCGGTTTCTGTACATTGCAACCCACTGCACAGTTCACTGCTGACCTCAGCCTGGGCCCTGGCACAGCAGCAGTGCCTGGAATTTGCCAACCTGATACACAGGAGTGGGGCTTGTGGCTGTCATTTTTATTTCCCTTATAATGAGAGGTTGACCAAGTTTCCATAGGTTTAGGAGTCTAATTGACTTTCATTTGGTTTATGGAGCTGTTTTAAAGCAGCTTTATGGAAAAATAATTAACATTTAAATCTATACATAATGTGATAATTATATGTTTGGAGATAGGCATATGTTGGTGAAACTCACAAGTAAAATCAGGAAGGTATCTGTTCCCCACCCGGTCTCCTGTGCGGCCTCCTCTCCCCATCCCCACTGACTCTGCTCCTTTCTAGGACTTTCAATAAATAGGTACTCCTCCCCCCCCCCTTTTTTTTGGTCAGTTGTGGGCTTGAACTCAACACTGTTGAGTTTTTTCACTCAGGGCTAATGCTCTACCACTTTGAACCACAGCTCTATTTCCTGTTTTCTGGGGGTTAAGTGGAGATAGGAGTCTCACCAAAGCCAATGTCGGTGGCTCACACCTGTAATCCTAGCTACTCAGGAGCCTGAGATCTAAGGATCATGGTTCAAAGCCAGGCCAGGCAGTAAAGTGCACAAGGCTCTAATCTCCAATTAACCACCAGAGAACCGGAAGTAGCAAAAGAGCTCATGGAGGGCAGGGAAGGTGGCTCAGTGGTAGAGCGCTTGCCTAGCATGCATGAAGCCCTGCATTCCATTCCTCAGTACCACATACACAGAAAAAAATCAGAGGTGGTGCTGTGGCTCAAGTGGTAGAGCTCTAGCCTTGAGCAAAAGCAGCTGGGACAGTTCCCAGGCCCCGAGTTCAAGCCCCTGGAGTGGGGGCTTGATCCGGTGGTTTCCAGACTTGGCCTGAGAGCAGTGCTCATCTGATCTGCCTTCCTCATGGGCCCCTGCTTCAGCATCACAGCTCTCGGGGGCTGTGGATTTTATGTGTAGTCGTGGGCGTTGTAGTAGCCGTGAAATGACTAACCCAGTAGGCGCGCAGGGTCAGGGACGCTGGCTGCCATCTCAGGGCTCAGCCTGGCTCCCGGATCCTGTCCCCAACCCTGTCCCACGCTGCCCACGCTTGTGTGCCTCTGAGGCCGGGGCTCAGGGCTCTCGGCTGGCACCCCACAAGTGCCACTCGTTTGTGTCCTCAGGCTCCGGGCCTGGTGCGCAGGCAGGGCCTTGCAGGAGGCTTGGGCTCCAGCTGTGCCTGCCTGCCGCAGGCCAACGTCAAGGACATGGGCTCACTCCTGGGGAGGGCGCCCAGGGAGCAGGTGGGAACCGCGCCGGACTCTGGCTCTGAGGGGTCCAGGCACAGGGCTCTGCGGAGATGTAGAGGTCCCAAACAGCCCCGGGCTTGGGCTTCGGCCCAGGTGTGCAGTTGTCACAAAGAGGAGAAACCAAGTGGAGGCCAGCACTCCCGTGCAGTTTAATGTGAAGGGGAACAGGGTATCAAGAGCAGCACTTCACTAAACTGATGTAAAAATGGAACACGATCCAGACGTGGCTTTTTACATAGGACAGTAAGTTCCAAAGCCCCCGTGTCCATCGGAATCGTTTCTTGGAGAAGAGTTGAAGCCCGGTGCGGTCCGCAGGGTCATAGACTGGCCCTGCATCATGGGCAGCCGGGTCTGGGGGGGGGGAGGGGCACGTCCCTGCTGGGGCCCTGGGGGGGGAGGGGCACATCCCTGCTGGGGGGGGGCGGGGGGGGGAGGGGCACATCCCTGCTGGCCTTGGAGCCACCACATGCGGTGTGCAGGGAGGGGCCCCAGGGCCTCCCAGCAATAAATAGGAAAACAAGTGGAGAAAAAAAACCAACCAGTGTGGCAAGCCCCACATGGTACAAAGGCTCAGCTCAGCTCCGCCGGCCCTGCTGACTCTTCACAGACCGGGCGTCTCCAAGTCAGCGCTGGGTCCCGGCGCCTGCGTGGGGAGGTGGGTGGGGTGGGATGTGGGCCGGGCCTGCTGCCAGCGGCTGCCGAGAGGCAGCAGTGCCGGGCCTCGGGTCCCACCGGCAGGACCCTCGCGGCCGGCGCACAGGTGTGGCCGGGCTTGGAGTTTCTGGTGGCAGGTGTGGAGCGTGGCCACAGGCAGGCAGAGCCTAGCCCTCACGCACACTGACGCGTGGCTCGGCCAGGGAGCTGTGGATGATGCTGACGATGGACTCCAGGCCCTGGCCCTCCAGAATCGTGCGGTGGTCACCCTCGATGACGTGCACGGACACCTTCCCGTCGCACACCTGCGGTGGCACGGGACCTGAGGCCGAGGCCCACCCCCTGGTGGCCCGCAGCCTGAGGCCCGCCGGGCCCCTCCCCTGCCAGGCCCGCTCAGCCCCTCCAGGGTCCGAGGCCCGCACGGCCTGCTCACCTGGGAGAGGTTGTAGTCGGCGCCCAGGTCCTCTCCGCAGGCCCCACCGGTCTTGGCCCGCAGCAGAGTCACGCTGCCCTGGTACTTGGCCTTGGGCTGGTACAGCTCCAGGGCGTGCAGCTTGTGGTAGAAGGACTTTGCGGCGAAGCTCAGCTCGTGGCAGCTCAGGTTCTGGTGGCTCCTGGTGATGAGGTCCACGGCGGCAGCCACTCTTGCGTCTAGATCCTTCAGGGGCAGCAGGGCCTCCAGCAACTGTGGGAGAGGCCTATGAGCCGCAGCCCCGCCTGCCCGCGCCCTCCCCTGCGTCTCCAGGCCCGCCCGGGGTCTTCGGGGTGCGGAGCCCTAGAAGCTGCAGCTCCTGGCCCTGGCCCTGCCCACCGTCTTGTGGTCCGTGTCGATGAACTGCTGCACGAAGAAGCACAAGGCCTCGGCCTCTGCTTCGGCCTCACAGCCCAGCGTCATCTTTGCCCGGTAGCTCTGTAGGAGGAGGGGCAGCTGCAGCAGGCGTGGCGGTGGCCGGGACCCCCGGGAGATAAGCCCGGTCGTGCGGCCCTCACCTGGGTATAGGCCAGCACATAGGCGGGCGAACCGTCCAACAGGAAGAGGCTGTTGTGGGTGGGGGCCGAGCCCTGCTGGGCCTGCAGCTGGGAGCAGATCTCGAAGGCCACGCAGGCGCCGTAGGAGTAGCCGGCCACTCGGTAGGGCCCCTCAGGCTGCACCTGCTTCATGTGGCCGAGGTAGTAGGCCGCCAGGTCGTAGATGCTGTCCAGCGGTGCGGCTGCAGGGAAGGTCGTGCACTGGGGCTCAGCAGGGCTCAGACAGGGAGGGCTGCCGCCGGGAGGAGGGGGAGGGGCACCGTACCTTGGGTGCACTGCAGGCCGTAGGTGGGCACGCTGAGCTTGGCAGCCAAGCCATGGAACACAGTGGTAGAGCCCTCGATGGCGTGGATCAGGAAGAGGGGCCGCTCGGCGCTCTGCACGGCGTTGAGCCGCGTCAGGGTGGGGCCCCCGGGGTTCACCAGCAGCGTGCTCAGCAGGTCCCGGTTCCAGGACGAGCTTTCCTCCTTGGGCTTGAGGTCCACTGGCTCTGTGGGGCAGGACAGACCCTCCAGCCTGACCACGGACGCACAGAACACCGTTCTGCTGCCCATGCCCGACCCCATACCCGGGGCCCTGCACCGGGGAAGGAGAGCCAGCGGCAGCCCTAGCCCCACGCACCAGGGGAGGGAGAGGACAGCTCCTTCAGCTCCTGCAGCGTGAGCTGCCGCACCTCCCGCATGGACAACACCAGGTCGTACTCGCGCTCCAGGGTCTGGCGCACCTCGACGCCCATGAGCGAGTCGAGGCCCAGGTCGGCCAGCGAACTGCTCAGGTTGATGCTCGCCAAGTCCCGGATGCCTGGGAAGGGAGCGTGGCGGTGTCAGGGAGGCTGGGGGCTGCGCTGCTCCTACCGAGACAGCCAGCCAGCGCCGCAGCCCTGCCCGGCCACAGACCCCGAGGCTGAGCCCAGAGAGCCAGCGCCAGCTGGGTGGGGACCCGGGGGCAGCAGCTCACCCAAGATGTGTGCCACGGCCTTCACCAGGTCTCGCTGCCCGGCACTGTCTGCGCGGGACACGACCTTCTCCGCCAGCACGAAGCTGCTCAGGACGGCGTGGGGCTGGTTTAGGAAGAGGTCCAGGACCTCCATACAGGAGGTCATGCGCTGCGGCAGCGTGCCCCCGATCACTGTGTCGTTCGTACCCATTGCCTCCAGAACGATGCCCACATCCCCGATGGCGCCCCACTGCACGGCAAGGCCTGCGGGCAGCGGGGTGAACGGTGGGCGGGGGGTGCGGTGGTGTGAACAGCGGGTGGGGGGTGCGGCGGTGTGAACGGCGAGAGGGGGG